TACTTATTAAGTTTTTTTTTAATTCAGTGTAGACGGAGTAGCGGGCGACAGCTAGTAATAAAATAAAATATACGTTTTGTTTGAGAACAATACGTATAAATAAGGATAAAAATGTTGTATTCAAGCAAATAAATATCCGATTTTTATGAAAGCATAAAGAGTTTAGAGATCGTAAACGGAACAGTTCTCCGCATACAAGTCTCGGGGAAAAATAAACATAATTGTAGACCTAGAATAGACATGAATGGCATTTTTTTACAATAAAGATGGGTGATAGATGTTTTGTTATAACTTTATTGTCTTTACTCAAACAGTAGTATACAGATATCTGATAATTTATTCCCATAAATCACTTAAATAATATAGATACTAGCTGGCAAACGCGTCTCGGTATGCGCGGAATTAAAAAAAAACATTTTATAAGTTGCCTATGTGTTCTTCACAATATGCCAAATTTCAGCAAGATCCATGCAGCCGTTCCGGATATACGTTCAAGCTAACATCCATCCACGCATCGTAACATTCGCATTTATAATAAACATTAGTAAGAAGTAAGATATTTACAAAATCCTATATTTCTTTTAACTGTAACATGTAACATGTTGAGTAGATATTTGAGATCGGATGTAATTCTAATCCCGAATATGTTCCTTTTCCACTAGCATCCAGACAATTGATTTATCTATCAATCATGCTGCAGACATTGGCAGGCAAAGGCCGTTGTAAAAAGTTATAAATGATATTCCCAGAGGTTATTTAACGTCTGACACAATATTACAACCTAAAGATATTTGGATAAGATAAAACGCGACAGATCCGGAGATGGCTTGACTTTGACTCTTTTTATTAATAATTAAATATTAAATTAATATTAATAAATCCTAACCTAACTTTATTATAATATATATTTAGAATTTAGATAAATATATTACATAACATTTTATATGTTAAACCTAGTCATTGTTATATACAACTATAAATCATGAACAGATTACAAAAGAACCTTCAACAAAGCACACGATTATACGAACGAATACAAAGCGTTAAAGAAATATGCGACGTATATTACTATTAGTCCAAATTGATGTAACTCAACCCAACTAAATTTGCAAAGAATACGCGGATAGTAAAGGAGGATTTATGATCGTTGGAGCTTACACTTATTTGGTTATTTTTACAGACTTCTCTTGAAATGTTAGCTTAATCAATCTTTACGCCACGGGTTGAGAGCTGTGTTACTTCGAAAGGTATTAAATCCGCTATAGAAACCCTTTTAAATAGTTACATTTCGTATACAGCAAAGGAATAACAAAACTAAACACATCAAAAAAGTTACCGATCGCAAAAGTCGATGATGTTGTCAAAATGTAATTTAACAAGTAAAGATTTGTTATATACATAATTAAGGAAATAAAATCACCTTTTTACAAGTTTTTTTTTATATAACAAAGACATACAATATTACATTATATATAATATTTGATAGAAATACATTTTTAAAACATAATATTTTTTTATTTTAATGTGTAAAATTTATTTATTTTCGAAATCGCCAGGATAGATGTCTAAGATAACCACCAAAGTTAATTATAAAAAAAATCTTTATTTCATAATAAAAATGATTACAATGTCGCCTTGGCTAGATTAAGCTGTATTTAAGGAGCCAATGATGGAAGTCGTTTTATTCCATCTAACAAAACAAATGAATGTAATAAACAAGCAATTACAACCGTTTTCAAGAAATAAAAAGTATAAAGGGTAAAAGTTAATTAGTAACTAACCGTAAAATATCTAGAGTATTTTGATGTAGTTTTCAAAGCTTTAGTTAGAGTAAAAAGAATTCTAAAATAAAACCAATAGAAACGTCTATTTCAAACCAAAAAAAAATCGCGAAATCTAAATTTATTCGTTCTGTTAATCCCTTAGCTGTTATATCTCCGCAAAACAACAACTAAAATATGTCAGAGTTACATAATAATTTATTTTTTTCTACTACACTGGACATCTGTTGCATTATTTGAATGTTACAACTTACCACAAAACTTCACGGATTGTGTACAAGTTGTTATCGTTTGCGAAACTAGTAAGTCGTAAGTCGAACGCCCGCATCGCGTAAATAGTTCCCGAAACGACTTTTACGACACACACGGGAATATTCGTTGGTGAATTCTTTGCACGCGGCGACTATTTTTAAGTTACATGTTAACGAACACACATTATAATATAAATCTCAATAGCTTTAATTTTATAGCGTCGGTGGCTAAGGGGTTTAAGCACTTGACTTGCAATCTGCAGGTCCTACGTTCGAATCCCGCCATGTACCAATGTTTTCTTCGATTTTTGATTTACGTATGTATGTACATTTATCCGACATTCTTACGGTGAAGGAGAACATCGTAATGCAACCTGCACATACGAGTATCTGAGAAGAAATTCGAATATATGTGTGAAGACAACCAACCCGCACTGGGCCAGTCTAGTTGACTATAGCCTAGTCACCACTAACATAGGGTAGGCTCCTTACTTAGAGATAAACTTGCGTCACTGTTATTTCATCATAAATGTTTGTGGAATGTATAATTAATATGTAGATTTTATTTCCCTGAATCTTAATCTTGATTAGATTAAAAAACCATAATTTTTACATATCTATTTTGTTTCCATGTTTCAAAGCATTGTATTCAAAGTATTAAGAATCAATACAGAATGATTTTTTTGCAAACCTATGTTTTTATTATCTCACATGTAACCTATTAGCCACCTGCCCTTTTCCCTAAGAAGGGTCGGCATAGTACGTACTCCTCCATACATCTCTATCAGCCGTCATAACTGAGTCCACTCCTTTCTTACGCATATCCTGCAGTAAATAACAATTGACTCATGCATAAATAAGACATACATATCCATTGTAGAGGTACACTGGCAGTTGTTGTTCATAATAAAACCTATAATATATCGTCCTTTTGTCATAACATTACCTAAGATTCACTCATTCAAAATAGAAGCTGGTAAAGAGACAAAATATGTATGTTTAATATTAAATTTACTTAGATTTCAGTATATTGTAGAAAATTAAAATTAAAAAAATTAAAAAACACCGTAGTATTTAATTGCTTTGTCATAAACGATTAATATTTGTCATTATTTTTTTTTTATTAATATCTTTATTTAAATGTGCAGTAATTCTATGTTATAAAGTTTTGTATCGGAATTTCAACAAAATAATAAATAATATAAAATATTTTTGATATAATAAAAAAATAATAATATAAATATTTAAAAAGTTCAAAAATATTTTTATATAAAATTCATCGCAATTACTCACTCAGTTGGTTTTTAATCTCGATATTATCCTTTAATATCCACTAATCACGTCTCAACTTTTATATTTTCACGTTCAATTTAAGTTTTACAAACTATTGTAAAGTTATTCATAACTTTTAATAAATCAAGTTAAATCTCACTTAAATACTTTTCAGAACGCATGTTAACGAAAACACTTTTTTTCTAATAAACTAAGTTAATAGTATTCGAAATTTATAAACACTGAAAAATCAAATAGCGCTAAACACGGAACACAGAACCGCGTATTACGAACCCTTAGAGTAAACTGAAGAGTAAGTGCCACCCTAATACGCATGCGTCAGGGACGTACTCCAAACATAAGTTCGGAAAGTAATATGTGATCATTGCTCAATCATAAATTGCCTAGTTTTACCTGTGCTCAATATCACTTGAAATATTTAATTTATACTAGCTGTCGCCCGCCACTACGTCCGCGCGTAATTTAAAAAAAAACAATTATTATTAACCTATATTCTTTCGGAGCATGTTCTACATCTATGCCACGTTTCGAGATCCATTCAGACGTTTATATAGGAAAAGGAAGTTTTCCCGGTAATTATTTGATTTTTGCTCACCTTTTAAACCTTCCATAGACCTCCACGAATATTTCAAGACCAAGATAAGATAAATCCGTTCAACCTCTCTCAAGTTTTAGCGAAACTAACGAACATCAATTGATTTTTTTTTATATACTCGTATGTAAAAAGATTTATTAATCTAATTTGTCTGACAATTTCATGTCTTAAACGTTTTATGCAAAAACATGACTATTTGAGACTGACAAAAGTTTAATCCATTTAGGCATAGTAAAAACCGCGATCTGCGTATACTTTCTAAATTCCAATATCCTATATATTTTATTTAAAATTCTGAAGGCTTAACATAAATGTTGTGCTAAATTAGATTTCGGTCTGACCTTAATTAGGTAAATGCAGGAAGTAAGAAAAAGCTGTAACAAGTTTGGATTCGAGATATGTTATCGAAAGAAAGTTTACGTTATTAATTGCGGTTACAGTATTTTATTAGGCTTTGATATTTAACTGGTCATTCGGGTTTTTGAATATAAATTGAACTTTTCTCCAAATCAATACTGACAACTAGATCTACATTGTATATGCGTATTACAGCCGTGTTTCATAATATTCAATTAAGTCCAGACTAAGTTACATAGAACTTATTTATGAAATAAAGTTTTTGTTGACATTGTACAATCTCGAAATAAGCTATGAAAAGCAAATTTTAACAGGAAGGATTTTACTTCAGATAATTTATTTAGTTAATTATCTACTACTTTACTTGGATATTGTAAAACAGGCCCTTTAGTACAGCTTTAAGAACATACAAACATGAAAAATTTGAATTCATACTACGAGAGTTTTTTTTTATTTTGTGCAGCGAGGGTGATAAGGGATTATGCGGGGTTTCATGAAGACACCAATTAGTGACTATTGTGTAGCTTATTTTTTGTGTTGGCCTTTTCTCAGTTAAACGTTTTTTTATCCTTATGAAGCAGATAGAAACAACTGCTATTCATTTAATTAGGTTGAGTTAGTTGCTTTAGAAATAAAACATGATTCTAAATGATCCTCATGTAACAAATCCGCATTACAAACATTAATTTTTGTAGGCAAATAATTGTAGGAAAATATAATAACTGTAGACAGGATCGTCTCAAACGGAAATATCAATATAATTTTCAATCATTTATATGCAAATGAAAAATCTCTACATACAAATGATCGTAAAGGTGCACATAATTCAAGTTTGAAACTTCGCAACTCAGACGCAGTCGGCATATCCCGACGAGACGGTGTTTTGTTTAAATTCCCAGCTATTATTTGACTTATCTTTATCATAGCCTGAAATAATAATCATATTTCAATGTATCAATACAATCAAAATGAAATTTAAATTCAATCTTTCTGCGTATAGTTGACAATACTACTGACCATTTACAATTCTATGGTAATTCTTTAATTAAAAGTGTCTGTTAAAGCCAATATACAAGGACTGCTTCAAACAATCCCTACCCACAAGTGAACGACGCAAGGAGACCAGCAGTTGTCATTTATCATACAGGTACCGTACTTTGTAATCTTCGGTCCGTCCCATGAAGCCGACACGCTCTACATAAGGTAATCGGTGCATGTCGACCATTAATTATAGCAACATGGTTTTATAATTGATACAATATTTACCGCTCGTGATGGCAAAGGTAACGTAGGAAGGGCATAGACTGGAGGGCAGGCCAACAAAGACGATAGCGATACACGCATTTTTAAAACATCGAAAGGTCTATTTGAAGAAATCATTTCTGGAACAAAAATTATCTTGGTATTACACTATGACACACGGACGTATGGAGGCATATGTAAATTAAACGTATCGCACGGGAACCGCCCACATTTCCATCTTCCAGATTGTGTTCTACATCTGTACCAAATTTCATCGCGATCGATGCAATCGTTTTGGACATTCCTTCTAACAAACATCGGATGGATGGATTTCATCCATGCAACCAAACATTCTCTTTTACAAAAAATGATACGTGGAAATCTGTATATTATTTATATGAAAAAATTTTTATTAAAAAGTGACGGTCGCTTTAACACAGACTGGACATTCAACAAAATGTTTTTTGTCTTCTACAATATATTTCAGGAAATAATAAAAATAGACAAAAAAAATAATGAGCGTAAATAAACCAGTCAGAATAAAGTTAACTGTACTTAACTACCATACTCATTTTTTTTTCAATTAATAAAAAACCAAAAGCAAAATTGCTCCTAGTCTTTCTGTAATATAATAAACTAGGTGATAAAAAAATACATACCTGGATAAATTCTTTCCAAATAGGTATCTGAACTTGAAAAATTGCATCTTACATTAGGATAATAACTTTCAATTTCTTCCCAAAGTTTGATAATATCTTTATTCTTTTCACCTTCAACGAAAATGAAATGTTTGTCACCGGTATCGAGATAAAATCCTGTTAAGTAATGTTCTTTCGAGCGAATTCTTTGATTCAACTCTTCAATATTCTCTAAAACATCATACGCTACTTTCGCGCTTTTAGCTAACGCATAAAGACGAGAAAAATATTTCAATAAATTTATTTCACATCCAACTAAACCAACTGATAGTTGAAGCATCATTTGCGAATTAAGTACAATATTCGGTTGAAAACCGAACTTGTTCTTTTGCATAGAGCATATGTCATTGATATAATTCGTGCAATCACTTTTTAAATTCAAAATCTCAGTCTGTTCAGGGTACAAAGAGAATTCACCAGATATGACTTTATTTGATCCTTTAGACAATTCTCGGACATCAATACGAGTGCCTGCTATAAGAATATCTTCTTCATTATTAATATTCAGAGAACTGGTAGGTGTACCACTTGTTTGTGTACTAAATAAATTTTGAATATTTTCCTTCTTTGGAGTTTTTCTTAATCCGCGCAACTAAAGTAAAAATAATTTAACATTAAAACGATCATAATATTAGCACACGCCATTAGGTTTAGTTGATTTACAAGAAAGGTTAATAATGCATATCAATAATCTGCTATTATCCTAATTAAATATATTTTTAAATCTTTGTTATTTTATTATTCATTACTGCGTAAATATATTAAAACAAATTTTTATCCCAGGTATAAAGAGGAATCATTTGATTGTTTGTTTGCTTTGAATTGGCTCAAAAACTTATGTATTCATAAGTTTTTGAGCCAATTGCCAAATGCCAATCTATTGATTTGAAAAATTATACGCGGGCGAAGTCACAGGAATTGCTAGTCTAATAATAAAACAATTCAATAAAATACCCCTACAAACTATTAATGTTCAAAGTGATATGGCTGAAAAACTTCGTACCAATGAGAAAATATTGATAAAAACAATAGGATAATCAAGAAAAAGGCGACTAATGATTGCAATATGGAATATTTGCTTACCTGTACATCAAAGTCATTATCCATTAATGCATTAAATACATCAAATACTAATGTTTTTTCAATCGGTACAACGTGGCTATCATTAAATTGAACTTTGGTTTCAGTCGTCACATTTTGCAACACAGAGTCATGTTCTATTTTTCCCACTTTCCAATGTGCATATATTTGATAAATACTGGATGGAAATATTAAATGTTATTTATACCTTTGTTTGTAATTTTGGCCAACTTTAAGGAGTTGTTAGTTATGCCAGTGTTAAGTGTTGTAAGTAATCCTGGTCAGTTCGTCTAGTGTTCGAAATCATATGTAAAATAACTAATATTAATAAATGCTTATGTTTGGATGGATGTATGTTTGTTTGAAGGTAACGGATCTCCCTGAATTTTGGAATTGAAATAGAACGTAGCCTGGAAGAACACGTAGGCTACTTATCAAGTTTTTTTTAATTCGAGCGGATGGAGTCGCGGGCGACAACTATATTGTATAATTTATTCAAGAAATTTACAAGAAACAATAGGTTGAAAATTTATACATAAGGTACTAATGTTCTCTAATTTAGATTTTAATGGGAACTTTGAGAAGGGATTATTCATAGAGAAGCATTAAATTTAAGAACCTACAGCAGCGTAGAAAAATTGAAAGATGAAAGGAAGACATTTTAAATACATATAGGTGTTGTTTTTTAATTTACCCGGCTTTTTGAAATTCATCTATAGGTATATTCTCTATGTTTTGAATATTAACAAACATAATAGGTAAATCGTCCTGTGCCGGCAAATTGCTTGCACTAACTACAGCCAAAATGCGACCGTGCAGCGTCGAACGATGTCCGACTTCGAGAAATCGATTTAATTTTCCAGACCCTGCAATATTGAGAATTAATTATTGCTCAATTTCTCAAGAAATCACTCAACGATTTATATAGCAATTAATTATACCAAGTGAAATGGGATTAAATATTTATAAGTCTTATGTTTTCACGTCTTTCTATTGATCTTTCTTATCGTCTTTCTATATATCCCATACAAAACCTTTTTCTTATTTGTTTTTCATACATATGTGAATTGCTGTACATAAAAATCTTATTAGATTTTTTAGTTATCTCTTTAGTTCTTATTTTTAAAATTGTTGGTATGTTACCTGCAAGAATGACTTCTCCGCTTATTTTCAGTTTATAACTTTCCGATTCAGGCATAGATTTTTTTCCTTTATCTTTATGATTCGACAATTCACCACTACCACCAATGTTATTGAACTGTAGGTTGGATGTTAGCATTGTTTCTCTTATGAATCCTAAGATTGCGTCTTGATGTCGAACATCTGAACACATGGTTAACATTTTTTAATGATATTTACAACTAGCTGTCGCCCGCGACTCCGTTCGCGTGGATATATAAAAAAACTTAATGAGTGTAGCCCACCCATCCATCCATTTACATCACATCCATCTAAACATTCGCATTTATATTATTAGTAAGTTAAATAAAAAGCAGCTCTTCAAGGCATAAATTCGAAAAAAAATATGAATAAATAGTATCCTATGTCCGTCTCCTGGCTCTAAGCTACCTACTCACCAATTTTCAGTCATATCGGCAAAGCCGTTCTTGAGTTATAAATAGTGTAACTGACACGACTTTCCTTTGTATATATGATACATATAAGATAAATATAAGATGTAGAAAAACATATTCTCTAACTCATTTTATTATGCAAAAGGTGTTGGTCTATTTTAACTAATAATTCCAGGATTTCTAATCAACATCTTAGTTTTACGGTGTGAAAGTTATGCTGTGGGCATATTTAATTTTAAGTCCCGAAAAACTAGTGCCTTAAGAATTAATATATAATTTTTATTTACGCTTATTACGTTAGAGTAACTTTGTAAAATAAATTCGAACCTGACACTAATAACGGAGTATCAAATGCTCCATCAAAACACGACGCTGGAATATATTTAATAACATTTTTCCAAATCAAATTTATAATCGACTTAATAACACCCTCGTCTTCATTTTCTACTACTTTGCCAAAATATCGAAGCTCGCCAAACTCTAAGGGTGGAATTAATATTAAAAAATCCTTGTCATTTCTTGCGCTACGAAAAAAAGACATTTATTTACGTGTAAAGTTAATTATTAAAATATTTATTTTGTATAGAACTTACTTGGTGCCTAATGACCCAGTTCCGACAGTTGGTATTATAACAATCTCAAGATGACGGAATTCTTCAACTTTAACTGGCAACTTGTGTCGTATCATGAATACCATCCAATGCTTATTAAAGAATTGCCAAGTTCTAACCCAACCATATTTGTTCCCACACCATATCTTTCATGAAATTAAAACAATGTTGTCAGAAAATATGTACAAGTAATTTCATCATATACCTCCCCATTTTAGGTCCCCACCAGATGTTCGAATCCTATCCAATGTAAGAAACCCCAGGCCTTAGTCAACAACGGTGGCCTACTGCGGATTGGTTGACTCTTTCTCTGCAGCTTGCTTCATCAAAATTATTTAAAACCAACTTATGGGATTTGAATTTAAACTTATAAAACTATTGAAAGTTAAATATTAAAAGTGCTAGTAATTTTAATTGTTTAAATGCATAAACACATTTCGATGGCTCCTACGTAGACTTGCGTAGCCTTAAGTAACAGACACAATTTTGTGATCTACTCCCTGTTTTTTTAAAACTATTATAAATTTCTAAATCTTTTTTTGAACCCTACATTTCGGTTGTCTATTGTACGTTTACTTTTAATACATCGTAATCAATAGTATTAATGTTTTTAAGTTTCGTCTTGTGTTCCAAATATACGATAGTTTACTTAGTAGCCATGAAATTGTATAGATTACAAACTTTCTATACATTTAAAATAACTTCAATAATACGTAAATGTAAGATAAAGTTACATACTTTACCAGCATTCGACCACATTAGAACATCTAGGTCATACGTATAGCCTTGATATAAGGTGTAGTGAAGCCTTAGGCCTTGGTTACATGGCCCTAATTCCGTCCAGTCCGCACTTAAGTTATCATTCTGAGAATTTTCTTCATTTAGAACAACTTCTACCGCAAATGTTAGAGTGAAACAACTATCCAACATATCAAATAGAAACTAATGTTTGTCGAAATATCAAAATTACTGTTTGAAGATTTATAGGTAAATGGGCTTTCTATTCGTGTCTGAAAACAACTTTGAAATTAAATTAGTTGTATTAAAAATTCACGAGAATATATTTCGACTTTTGATATCACAATAACACAAAATCATAGACAATTGTTATTATTTATAACCGTACTTCAAACTTCAACGTTCTTCACACAATAATGACGTCTATAAAGAGAAAGACTATAAACCGTGGTATTCCTCCTATTTGATTTTCGCCATTATGGCGCTAACGGTCGTGGTCAGTGTCGGTGGTGAGGATTTGAAATAATAACAGGAGTAGAATAAAATAACACTAACTATGGGGATGATGCAAAAGCTGTCATTGGCAAGCAACGACTTATCTAAATGATAGAGATTAGTGGTCCGTAAAAAGTAAATAAATACATTATAAAAGTACAAGTAAAAATGAAACATGTATAGACCGGCTGGCTATCTAAACCGGTAGGCATAAGTCAAACTAAATTGTGATAGCTCACTAGCGCCCCTCTTTCACCGTCAAAAAATGTCATAAGATCGGGTGTTGTACTGTAGCTGTCATGTCAATTTCTATGTCTAACCGTGGATTTCCAAGACCAAAATCTCTGTATAAAACATTTCGTCATCCCCGTCTTTCATCTTTTACAAAACAGACAGAACAAAGTATCCTAACAGTGGTAGACCCCGCTTTAACATCTTCGCACGAATCGGCCCGGCTCGCCCGGTGAAATACCACGACCACACAGAAGATAGGCGTGAAGTGGAAGCAATTCCGCGTTTCGTCTGATGAGTGTGCATCCCGGAGGCCTAATTTAGTCCTCTTTCCCTTCCCACCCTTTTTCTTAGAAGGAAGGGATGGGAAGTGGAAGGGATGGGAAGTGGAAGTGGACTTTCCGGATGAGAGGATGCATGGGAAGGGAAAATATTTTCTTTCTGTGCATCCTCTCCTTCGTCGATTAAAGGTAGGCAACGCATATGCAATTGCGTATGTCCATGGGCAACGGTCACTTCGCTATTTCAGCGATTTCGGGTGGCCGATTGCTCGTTTGCCACCTTTTGATATAAAAAAAAAAATCCTAAATGGGGATTTTTCCTACAGGAAGTAACTTTTGTATATATTCTGGCCCTATGGCAGCGTCTCAGCGGTTCTGAGGGACTACAAAAAATGCATTCGCTCCGAAGCGATTCTATAAGGAATTTGAAAAACATATAAAACTGACGCGCAACAATCACTGACTTATCGAAAGTTCTATACATTTTTCAAGTTCGTTACGGAGTCGCTTCGGCGCGAATGCACTTTTTCTAGCCCCGCAGATCTCTTTGTTTGACGATGCTACGGCAACTTGTAACATAATTTTGATATAACGTCTTTCGCTACTGCTAACCTTATCCAGCACGAAAACATGAACACATCGCCATTTAACATACCTGTTTAGTCTACAAGAGTTCACAAGCCACAAGAATGTAAGAGTACTTACAAAAAACTATTTATCGATATCTAGTTATCGGACATAACATTGGTTAAGCTTCGGACACATTTCTAATGCAATCTCGTAGAGTCTTGGAGCATTGTCCTCTCTGTTACCCGTGAAACGACCTTGAGAGTTTTGATACTTTAACGAAGAGCTACGTCTAGAGATGTGTTAAGAAAATTGGTTTTATTACAAACTAACTGAACCCATGCTTTGCTATACCAAAGTAAAACAAAATCAAAATCCTTATTAATATTATAAATGCGAAAGTAACTCTGACTGTCTGTCTGTCCTTTCACGCAATAAGTACGGGGTACTTTGTATCAGAATATGTGAGCTTTATGTGAATGTTTTATTAGTTTAATACGTATTGTTATTATGTATGTAGTATAAGTGATAGTAAAATTAGCCTTAAAAAAGAGAGTTTTTCACGCGAACGAAGTGGCGAGCAGTTGGTTCATAAGTCTTATTCTTATGTTTTTTTTGTGTGGTAATAACGTTTCTGTTCTGTTCTGTTGCATATACTAAAATAACATTTTTTACTATTTTTGTCTGTCTGTCTGTTTGTTCCGCCTAATATGTAAAATGGCTGACCGATTTTGACGGGACTTTTATTGGCACGTAGCTGATGTAATAAGAAGTAACTTGGGCTAGGTTTATTTTAGAAAAATAAATTAATGTTGCAATTTCCAAGTACTATTCAGTACCGGGCGCAACCCAAAGACAGAATAATACGCGGCCGGAATCGTGGCCACAGTTAGTACATAATAAAAATAATATTTATTTTAATTTAAGTATATGAAATACAGGAAAAGATAAATAACAGAAGGCAATGAAGCCATTACTTTATCGATGAATGATTTCTTTATCTAGCCGTGTAATTATAGTCACTAAAATTCAGTCGTTGAATCAGAAAGAAAAGTATAATAAAAACGTGAAAACCTCTTGGGCATACCTCTACAATTATAACAATCTAACTCGAGCCTACATAAAGAAAAAGCTTTAATTATAAACTCTTTTATCTTCCATTCGACCTATTAAATCCTTTGAATTTAAAAAAACGGACTGGGTTAAAAGCAGTCGTTGAATAACAATATATATTTGTCAGAGAGGAATGCGCTCGCTTCGCAAGTCCGTTTCTCTAAAATCAAAGATTTTACTCATGTGTCAAGGAAAAGCCATATTTTAATAAGTGATTATTTCAGAGACTGAAACAAAGTAGACTGGAATATATATACATTTGTCCATTGTTTAATAGATGTGTTCGACGTTGCTTTGTTAGAGGCTTCACTATTGAAACGAGATAATTAACTACAAAAAGATTTTCGAAAATAGAAATTACGCAAACAGTGTCTAGTGGAATATTTTAATTTATTTTCTCTTTTTCTTCGGAAAAAAGATTAAAGTCACTTGTTTTCAGGAAATTTACTTTAAAAAATTTTTTATACATATTATAAGGCGGCATTTGCCATTCCCAGAATAGCGAAGCGGCCGCTGGCTACAGACCTCTGTAATCGCAAATGCATTGCCTCTATTAAATTCACGGAGGAGGAGACGCACAGAAAAGAATATTTCCCCTTACTATGTATCTTTCTTAAAGAAAACTAAAATTAGGGTCGAAAACAACTGAGACGAATATATCAGACATTCTTAATATGGGAATTAATTTGTTTGTAATTAAATATCTTACTATAAAAGTTCTTTTACGTGCAAAAAATCGTCTTTATCGTAATTATCTTAATAAGATTCTTTATGATCATGAGCTACATAACGTTTAGTCAAAGAAAAAGTAAATACTTCATTTTCCCCGTTTTCCTTCATCTTGCGAATAGCTCATAATGTTGCGAATGTCTAAAAGGTTGATTGACATTACAAGAATTGTTCATGTCTGGTACGAAGTGTAATTTAGTACTACTCTACTCACTATGTAACTTGTTTTTAAATACTAGCTGTAGCCCGCGACTTCGTTCAATTAGACTTATAAAATTAAATGTAACTTTAGTTTGTTAAATTTTATTTTATTATTCGCAGGTCGGAAAAAACTATTTGTACAATCCCGCTTGGATGTTTCCCGACTGAAAAATTGACATAAAATGTTTATTTATTCACTATTTGTGTACTAAATATGATTTTTCTATTCATTGTTATTGGTACAGACATTTTTCATTAATTTATACATAATATATTTACGAATATCTATGTGAATGTTCGCCACAATAAATTAAGAACGGAAAGCAATTTGTATTTTATTGTACATTTTATATTTTTAACAGCTTACATTTATTATAAGAATTCTGGTCTTAAGTTTATAATCAACGGTATAACCGAAACCGAGCCGTTTCGTACCACCTTAAGCCCAGTGGAGAGCATTTGTTATTTAAATTAACCGGAAAATGAACAGGGCTGATGCGGAATATGCTTCGTAAATAAAGTACATTGTATATTTCAAAATTATCTGAATACTAATTTTTGCTTAACATTTTTTTAATATATCATAAAGAGAAAAGATATGATTCTATATGTTAGTAGAATTTTTACTCTAAAGTAGTTTAGAGATCCAAATTGTCAAATATTGTAATATTTGTCGATTTCCCTGGAGGACTAAAATTCGTCTTTGCTAGTCAAACGAAAATGTATCAAGTTAAATTCAGTACTCAAACATTTTCCATTTAGACGTCCATTCAAATTTAAATAAACCAATTTTTATGTATTCCCTAAACACAATCTGAATTTTACTCTACTATTTTACTTGTAAAATAAACCTAAACCCTAATGCACATTCAAGATCTTTTTAATATTTTCGTCGTGTAAAATGTTTTAAATCTAATAGAAAACGATGGAAATACTAGTTAGTCGGAACGGACGAGGAGTAGGCAACACAGTTATTGACAATTTCGTCAATTTTACATAATGTAGGAACTATATTGTACGGTCAACGTCGACAAAATTAATATCGCGTCGTTCGGAAAGTCACTTTGTTTTACAAAATAAAATGGTGAACCCCAATAAACAGCTTCGAAGTTAAAACAGGCCTTTAATAGGTCATAAAAGAGTTCAATTTGAAATGAACCTCTCACCAATCTTCCGATTTGTTATTAATTGGTTAATAAAGAATACCTATGTATGATTTTTTTTGATACCAAAAATTTTATTTAAACTTTTTTCGTGTCCCATTTACTTTAATGCCATAACAAAATTATCCTCAAAACATAGCATATTCTTTTCAAAACGAACCTTTAATTAAATAAATTAAGAAACCAACTGTTCCTAAAGTCAGTCGTGAGAAAAGTTCCATACGACGAATTTGGAAGTTTTAAATATAACAATACTCTGCTTATTTCAAATATCTGCTCCAACATGTGCTGAGTTTCCTTACAAACTCAAATGAAGTGCCGCGTGTCTCATAATGTCGGCGGAATAATATTATAAAAGATTTAATGCTTAGTATAATTAAATATTTATTTATTTATTTGTTTTTTTATCTATTTATTTAAAAACTGCATAACATCCTTACAGAATACAACCAATTTAACACTATACACAGTTTACACGATAACATATTTTATAATAACAGTAAATAACACATAACAACGATAAATAAAAAGAAAAAAAACATAGATAAACAGTGCAAG